AGAATTCAATACACTGATCACACCTTCTCTCTTATGTGTCAAAATTCTACCAAGCAACGTACAACACAGAAATTCCACTTTTCTTCCTTCATAGAATCCCATCATGCTCATCTTGAAAGGTGTTTTTCTAAATCTTCTTAATACTCACTTGGCAAAAGCATTTCTTCTGTTAATCTCTTTTTGGGAAGAAGCAGAAGTTGTGCTGAAACTTCTCCTAAAACCTAAATATGAAATTAATTTCAGAAGAAGAAAAATAAATCACACATTTTCAACTCCTTATTTAAAAAGTTTTCTCTGGTCATTTTTCTTCTACAGATGTTCTATGATATGAAATATTTCTTTGGGGGAAAAAAGTGTAAACACAGAGCACATTGGCCATTCAGATTTCTTGACAGATTCTTACCTTTACCTTACCTTTACCTTCCTGAGCAAACTACACTCATACGGGATAAGTTAAGATCATGACAGTACTTTTGGAAGTTTTTACCATAATATTTCTCAAAGAAACTGAATCATATATTGATACAGTTGATTCCTTTTATGACTGAATATTGCAATCTTGATAATCATGAAAAAATGATGATTTTAAAACACCATTATTAAAAATACTCCATTTAAAAAACAGTAAGTAATAAACTTCAGAGCTGAACTCCTTGATTGTTGCTGTATACATAAGAGAGAGTTTAAAAAAAAAAAAAGACTTCACAAAAGATAAATTCTTACAAAGGATTCTCAGGGCCTCATGCATGCTAGGCAAGCACTCTGCCACTGAGCCCCATCCTCAGCCCCAGAACAACCTTAATTTAAAACAACTATATTAAAACTGATGAACTTACACAAAAGGCACAATTTCAAAGAAAATTTTTAAAAAGAAAGAAAGCATGAGTGATCACCAGGCATCCAGACAGCACACCACAGAGTTTTCACTCAATTCTAGGAACCAGGGCTCTTGCCTTTCTGGATGCACCAGGGAGTGGGAAGGAAGCAGCAAGGGCCTACCCAAGTGGGGGAATTCTCACTAAAAGGGACTCTGGTTAAAGGAGCTCACTCAGCATAAGCTTAAGTAAGAAACAGAAGGAAGCACATTCCAATGAAGGCAAAGGAAAGGGATTTGTGTCCAACCTCATGCTCAGTAAAAGGCAAAAACTTCTACCCTCACAGTTTGTGACCATGAGTTAAATTCATGCTATCAGTGAGAAAAATAAAAAGTGCTGCACGGAACATAAGATAAAGTCCCAGGTGAGCAGTGCCTCCAGGCCACTGGCAAAAGTAAATATAATCTCAGAATGCATCAACCCAGGCCTCAAAGAATTCTCATCTTTAAAACTCCAAGTAAATGAAGCACCTCACAATAATAAATTGCAAAACTCACAAGAAAAGAAGGCACCCTAAATCAGGCTCAACAGAAACAGATGTTGAATTAGATTCACAAAAACTTCAGATATTGATTACTTAACACAGAATAAAATAAAAATTTAATTTTAAATGTTTAAAGACAACAAACTTGAAAATATGGAGAAATAAGTGATAGTAAATAACAACCAGATTTTTAAAAATAAATAAATAAATTTCTACAATTAATAACTTTGTGTCTAGATTAAGCAAGAGAATAAACACTGCTAAAGAGAGAATCAGAAAACAGGAAGAAAACTCTGAAGATATTCAGAATGTGATCGGAGGACAAGTTGTGAAAAAAATATAAGAGGCATGGGGAAAAAAGTATGTCCAAAGTAACAACCAATCAGAATTTCAGGAGGAAATAATAAAGAAAATGGAGGAGAAAATACTCTTGAAGTATAATGAGTAAAAATTTTATTGACTTGAACAAAGATCAAGGTACTAATTCCAAGATCCATGATACCAAACAGGTTACACCAAAACCCAAATCAACAACAACAAAAAACCCCCACCTAGAAATATCATAGTAAAGCACCACCAATAACACAGGGATCTCTAACAGAATCCCCCAAAACTGATTAACTTGGTTTTCATTAAAATTTAAGACTTCTGCTCTGTGAAAGACACCATTAAGAGAGTAAAAGGAAGCCAGGCGCAGTGGCACACGCCTGTAATCCCAGCAGTTCTGAAGGCTAAAACAGGAGGATCTCGAGTTCAAAGCCAGCCTCAGCAAAAGCAAGGTGCTAAGCAACTCTGTGAAACCTTGTCTCTAAATAAAATATAAAATAGTGCTGGGGATGCGGCTCAGTGGTCAAATGCGCCTGAGTTCAATCCCTGGTTCTCACACACATACCAAAAAAAGAGAGTAAAAGTACAAGCCATGGATTGAGAGAAAATATTTTCAAAACACTTATCTTATTGGTCTAGTATTCAAAATACACAAAGAACTCAACAACAAGAAAATACCAAGAAAAAAAATAATCTATCTGAGCAAAGAAATGAACAGACACCTCACCAAACAAGGTTCACTGAGGGGTGAACATGTGAAAAAAATACTCAACCTCTGTCAGGGGCTGAATTGGGTCCCCCTAACACTGATAAGCTTAACTCCTAACCTCCAATACCTCAGAATGGGACTGTACACAGACACAGGCTTTAAATAGGTAATTAAGGTAAGACGAGGTCCTGGGGTGGGCCCTAGTTCAATGTGATAGGTATCTTTACAAGAGGAGGAGATCAGGACACAGAGACCATATGACAGCAGAGGAAGAAGCCACTGCCAGCCAAGGCAGCTCCAGCACACCAACACATCACCGCACCTCCTCAGGGAACCCCCAATTAAAACACAAGGCTATCAGAATGGTGAAAATCCATCCATATGTCATAAGTTGACCTCAACAAGGACTTACGGGCTGGTGTTAATACAAATAACTCTCTCACAGATGGTCATCCATATGGAAAAGAAAATTACACTTGATCCGTACCACCCACAAAGTCAATTCCAAGTGAACTGACAACAAATGTGAAAAATGAATATATAAAAACTTTTAAAGCACAATGTAGAAAAATACCTTTATGATATCTGTCTTAGGAAATAACTTCTTAAAACAAAAAAAAAATGCAGGCCATAAAAGGATTTGCTCTTTGACTACATAAACATCGAGAACTTTTATTTATGCAAAGACTAAAAAAATTAGTGAAGAGACAAACAATCAACTAGGCAAAAACTGAAAAAAAAATATTAGCACCTAAAATACACAAAGAAAGATCTACAAATTAATAAGATAAAAAACAATACATGCCAAAAAATAAAATGGGCAAGAGACTTAAACAGGTACTTGGTAAAAGAGCAAATGGATATGGCCCATAAACTGAAGCCTGGCTCCACCTCTTCTGTAATCTGGAAAGTATGAATTAAAGCTACAGTGAGATACCACTGAACACCATCAGACTGGCAAAGATTCCTAGGCCAAACAAGATCAGTGTCAGGAGGTACAGAGGGACAGAGTGTATGCTGCAAGCACCTGGCGCTCCCTAGGGAATGTTGAGGACATGGCCATCCTCACCTGGCAACCTAGAGACACAGTCGCCCATGCACCACAACACACAATGTACTACAACACACAATGTACTAACAAAAAAACAGGACATAACCTGAAATAACCACCCTGCATTTTAATGGGATGCTACATAACAAAATAGCAAGCACTAATCAAAACTAAACATTATTTATACACACACACACACACACACACACACACACATATATATATGATATACACTGAAAACAATTAACATAGTATTCAAGACTCACAACCTTAGGATGGGATATATGATGAGGGAGGCAGATGAGAAGCAGGTGGGTACTCAGGAGTTTCTACAACACAGGTAATCCTCAGCTGAGGGGTGGGTAACAGATATTTGCTCCATGATTAGAAGAACTATACAAATGCATTCATGTACTACTTTGTTTACATACAAACTTGACAATACAATGAACTAAAACAAAAGAACTTCTTTTTTTTTTTCCCCAATACTGGGGATCAAATCAACAGACACATGCTATGCAAGCAGCTCTACCCTGAGCTACATCCCTAAACCTTATTGTTCCTTTTTTTTTTTTTTTTTTTTGAGACAGAGACTTACTAAATTACCAAGGTTGACCTCGAACTTGTGATCCTCCTGGCCCAGCATCCCAAGTATCTGGGACTAAAGTTCTGTACCATTACCCGTGGCTACAAATATTTATTAGCAATATAAAACTATGTTATCTTACCAGGATAAGAATGATTCTGTTTATTTGAAGAAATTTCTGAAAGAGTATCCAGGGAATCTGTTAGTCTATAAACAGAACAAACAAAGCGTACCTCATTAAAAGTAGTTGGTGTTCAGGTTTTCAACCAAGGTTTTCACACCAAGGTTTTCACACCAATTAGTATTTGTTACTTCTTTCATTCAACAAACATTTATTGAGCACCCATATAAGCCAGGAATAAGCTTCAGCCTAGTGTGGGAGATAGGCAATACTCAAATGGAACAATCAGAATCACTATCTAAGAATCAAAAGTATGAAAAGTCAATTTAAAGTAAATTAGCTTAAAATAGAAACCTGATTTTGTTTCTTTGGAACTTTATTTTCAAAGGAACTTAAAAAAATATGAAAATATTTTTATTTTATTAAATTTAACAAATAGTAGATTAAAATTATAAAAATATCATGGATTCTTAAGTTGGAAAAAAAGATATTGGCTAAGTTTGTGTGTGTGTAGAATTTTTCTGATAAAACTGTATGGCTGACATAATTCAAGGCCCTTTATATTTGACTTTAAGCACAATCATAAAGGTCACCTTCCCCATGGGTTTCCTCTTCATTTTTTGATATTCAAATTATTCCTTATTTTTGAAAAGCCAACCCTGACAGCGTCATCTTCTTTCAACTGCTTACTGACCTAAATCTGCAAGGCCTCCTGTGTCAATCCCTTCTTGCAACACGATTCACTTCCATCAAGGAATCCTGCAACTCCTGCAGCATCTGCAGCTCCACACACAAGCCACCTGCATCATTTTCACATGGCATACAACACACCGCAGCCAATGAGGGACTGAGGGACACAAAGAATGTGACTTGATAAATGGTGAACAAGACAGACTTGGATGAAGTGGTGATGGACAGTAGAGAGTAACCGAATCCTAAAGGTGATCAGCTCATTAAGTTAAGTGCCTACTGATAAGAACTAAGAAAATGAATACTATGCTAATGAAGATCTTCTAGTCAGGGTGCACACGTGTCGGGGAGGATTTAGTGAGTTTTCTCAGAGTATTTATTCAAAAGAAACACTGATTGATTTATATATTGACCAAATATATAAATGTATATAGATATATGATATATAGATATATAGATATATGTGTGTGTGTGTGTGTGTGTGTGTGTGTATATATAAATATATAAGCTGAATGGAAGTTGGGTAATGGTGAATGGGTCTAAAAAGCCAACCCAGCAGAGGAAATAATATGTGCAACAATTCTGGGATAGGAGGCACATTTTTTAAATGGAAAGGGGAAAAATAAAAGGCAGCTATAATTCCAAGGAGAAAGATGTAAGGTGAGGATGTGATAGGTCACTACCTTATTAGGACTGTCCTCAAGCAGTCCCTAATTTAAAAATCCTTCCATCTTGGGGATCAATGGGGTCTTTAAAGAGATCAAAACTGATTTGGATTAGAAACTCTTCAAAATCAGAGACCATGTCTGTTTTATTTGCTTATAGAATGCCTAGCACAGCACAAAGTGCTAAAAGACACTTAATAGTATTTGATGATGATGAATGAGACAATCAGAAGATGACAGGAAGACAGCTGGATTGAGACAGCAGTTCATTTAGAGACAGCCCTGTTTCTGTTAAGAGGGAGCTGCTTTCAAATGCACCACCTTAAAGAAGGCCAAACAGAAGGCAAGCAAAACACAAAGTCAAAAACAAAGCCAGAGGAAAAATGAAACCATGAGAAAGAATGTGGCTTCACAGTGCAGAGGAGGAAAAAAGGGCTGTTCCTGCAGAAAAGCATTGAACTGGGAATCAGAGCTGATCAATACTTACTGTGCCTAAAAAGCACCAAACTACACACTCTGGGTAATGGAACATGAAACGAATCCCAGTCCTCATGACTAGGAAACAAAATCTGTATAAGCCTGTAGCAACGTGCCAATGACGACTTTCCCAAGTAGCAGAGCGCAGGAGCCTGACCAGTGGCTCAGTGGACCTCACTCCCAAGGTCACCCCTTGCAACTTCTTAAAGGAAGTCACCAGAGCTCCTTTATCCACCAGAGCTATGTTAAGAAGCACACATCCTGATTCTAGATGGTCAGGGTTCAAATCCCCTCTGGGAGCATAGCTTACTTAATCACTCTGGGTCCTGCCTTCCTGTCTGTGAATCAGGGAGCAGTACAGTGCCCCACTCACCGGGTGTGGAGAAGTAAATCATCTGTTATGGTTTGGATGTGAGGTGTCCCCCCAAAAGCTCATGCGTGAGACAATTCAAGATGGTTCAGGGGAGAAATGAATGGGTTGTGAGATCTTAACCCAATCAGTGATGTAATCCCCTGATAGGGATTAGGTGAGTGGTAACTGAAAATGGTAGGGTGTGGCTGGAGGAGATGGTTTTGATGTATATATTTTGTATCTTCAGAGTGAAGTGTCTCTCTCTCTCTCTCTCTCTCTCTCTCTCTGCTTCTTGATCACCATGATGTGAGCTGCTTCCCTCTGCAACACACACTGCCATAATTTTCAGCCTTATCTTGAGCCCCAAGAAATGGATCCAGCCTTCGATGGACTATGACCTCTGGAAACTTGAGCCCTCAAATAAATTTTTCCTCCTCTGTAGTTGACTAAATACATGAACAGTGCTGAAAACAGGGCCCAGAAGTTGTGCACATGATTCATTACTAGCATTTCCTTTTCTTCATTTAAAAAATGACTACAAAAAAAAGGAGGAGGAGGTAGGGGAGGAGGAGCAGCACCAGCAAAGTGCCTAAAAGTATGGACTTAGAATAAAACAAAATAACAAACCTGGGCTGGGTCCAGCTCCACCCCTAACTAGCCACATGACTTTAGCTAAGTTACTTTATCTCTTGTAATTTGTTTCTTCACCTGCCAAAACGGGAATAATCATAATGGCTTACACTGCCTGGGCTTGGACACAGAGGAGTCACAGTGACATAAGCAGCCAGGCCACACACTATAGAGCCCTCTGCTTATTAAATGCTCAATAAATGTTTGTAACAGATATGGTTATTTTCTGGCTTACCTGACCAAACAAACGCCTATTTGGACCAAAGGAAGTAACATTTAACAGAGGATACTTTAGGAACTACAAAATCACTGTGTGCTGAATGTTTATCAAAAAGAAGAAAATGACAATACCAAGTGCATTGTAAAAAGAAGGAAATTAATACAAAAAGTATATGCAGTTATTCAACACACAAAAAAACTGAGGACGAAAGTTGATATGAGAAACTAAAATGAATTTGCCTGGAAGCGGTCACAGGCTCGTAAGGGAGCCGGAGTGTGATCAGGGTTCTAGACTTAGGAATATGATCAGACCATGTATGTTCTCCCTTATTGAAAGATTCGCATCCCATTTCCCAGCCACTGAAAAGCACACCAAGCCAGCTCTTCCAGCACATAAGGCACTTCACTTTCCACCTGGAATTTCACAGGGATTTGTTTCTGCTCAAGTTGTTTTTTAAAACCAGAGTAAGGTGCACAGAAGTGTTACTGTCTTACGAAGAAACACCGAGGAGATTTATTATATATAAGTCCTTGAAACTTCACTTCCCCCAAAGATCTACTGCCTATCTATTTTTGAAAACTAAAGAAATCAGAGGAAAAGCCATTTTGGTTCCATTAGGTTTGCAGGAGAATGAATGGGTGCCTGCTGGCAGGAAATTTAATGTAGTTAGGATGTGACTGAAGCAATCAGGGAGCATTTTTACTTTTGTTTGCATGACAGATTAAGCTTGCTGCTCTCACTGTTCTTAGCTTCAAACGCCACTTCTAATAGCCTACACATACTCATAGGGTTTGCAAATGAGGAAAAAAGAAGGTTTTTAAAATTGCAAATCCTTAGCAAGGCAAATTTAGCTTTCCATGAGCCTTCTCTCTGAAGAAGGTGGCTGGTTAACCCTTAAAAGAAGGCACAAGTTACACTTGGTGTGTGTCTCCAGATAAAATTAGGGTCTCTGTGTGCAACTTCAAATTTCAAAACATTTATGTAAACATACACAAATCCCCTTTTTCTCACCTTTGTACCCTGGATGGGGGAGCAAATATTCCATATCTTGGAGAACAACTAAAATACTGCACACCTCCAACTGAACCATCATTCTTGCCATGGGGTTTTTCAAGCTCTATACCGTACCAATACCCTAGAACATGAATATTGCATTTTAAAAGCGTCTACACTTTGCTTAAAATCATTACGCTATTATACTAACCCAAAATCTGGATGGTTTAACATTTTCACAAATGACCAAAATGATGGAATATCATCACCATCATTAAGCTTTCAAATGATAAAATTATAAAATATAAAACTTGAAAATTTGAAAAGTGGGGAAAACATTTTACCAGTGTAATTGCTGAACAGTACATTAAGGGAGGAAAATAAAATGCACAAACACAAATTTGGAGAGGATTAGCTATTATGCAAGTAGACTGCAGCCAAAATGTATCTTAAAACTATAAAGAAAAAGAAACCGTCCTTGACTCTAATCCGCTGTGTTTCACAAGAGAAGTATAATATAACATCAAGATGCAAATCATACAGTAAATGTGCAATCTTTTCATTTCACACTCCCAATATTAGAACACCACCAATGGTTCTTAAATAATTAAAGAAGGACAAAGATAATATGGAAAATACCACCAGACATCATGGTGACTCTGGTTCCCTCCTTCCCTCCCTCCCTCTCTCCCTCCCTCCCTCTCTTCCTCCCTTCTTCCCTTTCTCCCCCTCCCTCCCTCCCTCCCTCCCTCTTTCCCCCCTTCTTCCCTTTCTCCCTCTCCCTCCCTCCTTCCCTCTCTCCCCCCTTCTTCCCTCTCTCCCTCTCC